GCCTATGCACCGACAAACTGTAGTGATGACTCGGTAAAAGACGACTTCTATCGCCAACTGAACGAACTCCTTCGCCACAGAAGAAGCTCGGACACTGTAGTGCTGGCTGGGGATCTGAACGCTCAAGTTGGAAAATTATCCACAGATGAGCTGCATCTGGGCGGCCAACATGGTATAGGCTACCGTAATGATAACGGTGAGCGGTTACTTCATTTGTGTGAAGATGCTCGCTTATTTCTTGCGAGCACTAATTTCCGACACAGCACCCGCCGGAGGGTGACTTGGCGCCCACCAGCCTCGAACCAGCTATGGACGCAAATCGATCACATTGCTATCAGTTACCGCTGGAGAGGCTGCGTCCAGAACTGTCGCTCGATTTGGAGCACAGGTGTTGACACCGATCATGCACTTGTATGTGCTGACCTGCAGATGCGCTTTGGCGGACGCCCGCGACGATGTTGTGAGCGCATTGACACCGGCAGACTGGTGAATTCAGCTGTTCTGAACGCCTATCAAATTACGCTGTCATCCGAGTTGGATAAACGCCCACTGGATGCAATTGAAGCTCACTGGTCTCATATGCAACAGGCCTTACTAGCAGCAGGCAAATCCTCATGTGGTATGTCTAATCGCCAACATGAACATTGGGTCTCTTCACAGTCCTTGGAACTTATAGATGCTCGCCGGCATATTCCGGCTGGAAACGAACACAATGAAACTCGCAAAGACCTGAGGGCAAAACTCCGTGCTAGCCTGAAGAGAGACCGCGAATCCTGGTGGTCTCGTCGTGCAACAGAGATGGAAATGGCCGCTGCCCTTGGTAACCATCGTGAGTTATTCCGTCTTATACGGGAAACCGGCAGCAGGAGACCTGGTGTTAGTGAAACTATACGTGACGAGAGTGGACAGCCTATCCACAACTTATCAAAACGCCTGGAACGTTGGGCTGAGCACTTTGAAAGGCAATTTAATCGGTCGGAATTGTTAGATTTCTCGCCGACCACTGATCGCCCTGCTCCCTGGGCTGTCCCTTTGGAACCACCCTCTCGCTCAGAAGTCGAACGTGAGATCGAACTGTTGAAGTTAAATAAAGCCGCGGGACCAGATGACCTTCCTCCAGCCCTCTTCAAATTCGGGGAACCTGCTCTTGTGGATGATTTACACGAGTTACTAGTGAGACTGTGGGAGCAGGAAACTGTCCCAACCGATTGGAGCCGCTCCATCATAGTCCCAATTTTCAAAGGAGGCTCACGATCGGAATGCGGCAGCCATAAAGGAATCAGTCTGATCTCCATCGCCTCCAAATTGCTTGCCTCTGTCATCCTTCACAGACTGACTGGCACTCGTGAAAGCCAGATTCGTGAAGAGCAAGCTGGATTTCGTCGAGGTCGTGGCTGCATTGACCACATCTTCACCTTGCGTCAGTTGTTGGAGCACCGTCACATATATTGGCGGCCCACCGTTGTCGTGTTCCTCGATATCAAAGGTGCATTCGATTCGGTGGGTAGACATGCACTTTGGGACTGTCTACTCAGGAAAGATGTACCTGAGAAATATTTGGATATTATCCGAGCATTATATGCGCGTAGCTCGGGCAGAGTGAGGGCTTACGGCAAGTTGTCGTCACCCTTCAATATCTCCAGCGGCGTGAGACAAGGATGTCCGCTGTCACCTTTCTCTTCAACTTCGCTGTTGACGAAGTCATGGAAATCGCGTTTACAGGACACGAGTTAGAAGGTGTGGAGCTACTCCCAGGAGAACGACTTCTTGATTTAGAGTATGCTGATGATATTGCCCTGATCTGTGACAGCTCACAAACGTGCCAAGCGGCACTGGACAGATTAGCCCTAGCTGTCCGTCACTTCGGGCTTTGCTTCGCACCCTCGAAGTGCAAAGCGTTTCTCCAAGATTGGTCTGGACCGCCTCCTACGCTGACACTTGGTGGGGATCAGCTAGAAGTCGTTCAAAAATTCAACTACCTTGGAGGTTGTATCAGCGCCCGTGGGATTGAAGATGAGATCACCAATCGTATAGCAAAAGCTCGGGGCGCTTTTGCTAACCTTCGCCACTTATGGCGCCGGCGCGACATCACTCTCACCCTGAGGGGTAGAGTGTACAATGCAGCAGTACGTTCGACCCTACTGCACGGTTGTGAAACCTGGCCGCTTAAAGCAGCGGACCTGAAGAGGCTAGTTACGTTCGACCACCGGTGCCTTCGTAATTTAGCTCACAGTTGGTGGGAACACCGCGTGAGCAACGAGCGTGTTCGACGCCTTGTTTATGGCACAGGAAAAGGAAATGAACCGCTCAGCACCGTTATTTCACGCATCAGGCTCCGATGGCTCGGCCACGTGTTACGCATGTCAGCCCACCGACTTCCGCGACGTGTGTTGTTTGCGCGCCGGGAGTGTGGATGGAAGAAGAGGAGGGGTGGCCAAGCGATGACTTGGTCGAGAGGAATGAAGGCCCTCACTTCTGAGCTGGCCTCGGTTGGAGCCTTTCGGCTCCCTTGTTGGGGTCCGAAAGACGATGAACACGTTTGGTTGGACACACTTGCTGATATGGCTAGGAGCCGACCTCAGTGGCGTTCGTGCTGTGAGTTTCTTTGTTCCACCCCATCCCTCTTAGCCTCCCCCTCCAACCACGATCTCATTATTTAACCTTATATAATTTTGCATAGTAATTTTTTTGATGCACAGCAGCCGGCTGGTAACTTACCGGAACGATGCCCATCCGTTACCGGTAGCTCAGCCAGCTTTCACCAGTTGTTGCTTTTTTTGCTCTCCTTTTTTTCTTTGTATTGCGGCACATTAGCTGTGGTGTTCCCTGTGGCAGCGCGTACGCGCGGGCCTTACCACGACCGCACTTCGTAGCTTGTGATTGGATGCCTGTCCGTTCGCGATCAATACCAGGGTTGTTTTGAATATACTGAGTGTATGTACCGTTGGCGTGAATAGAAGTTTGTGTTGCGTACCAGTAGAGTTCTGCTTCCTCGTTCGGGGCTTTGCTCGTGTTTGTTCAAGACCCTGCGTACAGGGGACTAGTGTACGTGTAGATACAACAGTGGCGTCGCGGGCTGTGGATCATTACAATGGCATTTCACCTACTACCTCCAGAAGCCTTTTGGTGCGATCCTGCTTCCAGACCTACGGAGAGTGATTGGATCCAATGGAGAACGTCTTTCACGAATTACTTGGACCTACTCCCAGCAACTACTACTTACGATGAGAAGCAAAAACTGAAACTACTTCGTCACCTGTTGGGCAATGAAGGTCAACGTTATTTCGATGCGTTAGATCTGCAGAAATTCGACACACTTACAAAGGCATTGGATGTACTCGATCAGTCATGGGGTGCACGGCCAAACATTTTCGCTGAACGCTACAAGTTCTGCTGTTTGAGGCAAGAAGATGCAGAGCCACTGGAACAATTTGTCGCTCGTTTAATTCGGTCTGTAAAAACCTGTGACTACACTAGCATCCCGAAGAATAAACTTGAGAGTGTTATGCTGACGCAGCAGTTGATAACCGGTATAAAGGATAATCGTATACGCGAAAAGCTACTTTCCGAAGATCCGTCAAAACTTACCTGGGAGAGAGCCATAGAGATCGCAAGACTAATAAAAGCCGCCGTTGAACATTCGAGCCTATTCAAGTCGAGTGATATACTAGAAGTCAGTAAGATTCAGCACAAGGGTTCCAGTCAACCTCAGAATTCGACTGTTTCGTGCTATAGATGTGGGAGTTCTCGCCACAAAGCTGACTGTCAAACATGTCCGGCTCGTACAGCTGAGTGTAAAAGCTGTGGTAAACTGGGCCACTTCGCCAGATGCTGCCGCTCGCGTCGAGTCACGTTAATTGACCAACAAAATGATGTTTCCACCTCACCGACTACACCGAATGTTTTTTCTATCAGAAGACGATTACAACCAGAAACACGACGAATTGCTTCGCTGGAACCCAAGCTCCCTGCTCCTGACATACGTACCGTTACACTCCATGGGCTTAACACTTCTGTACCAGTGACTATGGAGCTAGACTCGGCATCGCCGATAACAATTATCCCGTCCAGCATTTACGACAATTACCTGCAAGACATTCCATTACATCCTACGTCGTATAAATTCGAATCGTACACAAATTCACGTGTGCAAATTCGGGGATATATAATGACGAAAATCAGTTTACTCTCAGTCGCATCTGATGTAGCTGTGTATGTTGCTTCCGAAGACAGTCCAGCCTTGCTGGGGCGAAATGCTATGGTTGCCCTCAACATAACACCATCTATCGAGCGAATGCGCATCATGACAATCAAAACATCAGTACTTAAAAGCTTATATCCCAAATTATTTACTGAGTCGATTGGCCGGATTCCATCTGCTGCTCATCGAATATGCCTTAAAAAGGACGCTAAACCGTTTTCGATTTCGCAGCCACGTCCTATTCCATTGGCCAAACGTGCGATGGTAGAAAAGGCCATACAAGAGATGATTTCCAACGATTTGATAGAGCCAGTTAACTGTTCCGAATGGGTGCATCCCATGGTCACGGTGTTAAAGAAGGACGGTACTGTGCGCATATGCAACGACTTGAAAGCGTTGAACAGTCAGATCGTCGTCGAAAAATTCGTTCTTCCCACAGTTGACGAGTTGTTGGTCAAGATAACTGGCGCGCGATTTTTCTCAAAACTAGACCTGAGGAAGGCCTTTTTCCACATGCCATTGACACCAGAATCCAGACCACTTACGGCTTTTCTGACATCGAGTGGTCTATTCCAGTACAAAGTCTTGCCGATGGGACTTAGCTCCGCTCCAGCAGCTTGGCAGAAGTTTATGAATCACTCACTAGCAGATCTACCGGGACAAATCGCTTACATGGATGATATATGCGTTTTCGGGAAATCAAGAGATGAGCACGACTCAAGGCTGCGCGCTGTGTTGCAGCGATTGGAGAGCCTAGATCTTCGGCTAAACCTGGAAAAGTGTATATTTTGTGCTACGGATGTCGAGTTTCTTGGGTACGTCTTATCAGCTGGTGGAATTAGACCATGCGCAGCTAATACTCGAGCTATCACGGAAGCCCCTGTACCGAAGAATACATCCGAGGTTAAGCACTTTCTTGGTTTGTGCTCGTACAACTTGCGCTATTTGCCCGATTTTGCAACTATAGCGGAGCCATTGAGAATGCTGACAAAAGAAAAAGCTACGTTCGATTGGGGCTCTTCGCAGCAGTCGGCCTTTGAAGAAATTAAAAGACGCCTCGTCTCCACCCCAATGCTGGCCATTTTCGACGAAAACTGCCCAACATTCGTCTCAACGGATGCGTCAAACATCGGTTTAGGAGCGGTCTTGTCTCAAATTCAGAACGGGGAGGAAAAAGTGATTGCATATGCTTCTAGAAAGTTATCCCCTACTGAAGTTTCATATTCCGCAGGTGAAAGGGAGGTCCTGGCCTGTGTATGGGCCTGTGAAAAATGGCACCTATTTCTGTTTGGTCGGAGATTTACATTGCGCACGGATCATGCTGCTCTAACTACCCTCCTCAGCCGAGGAACCAATGGTCACAGGCCACTAGGGATTAACCGCTGGTATGCGCGGTTACTGAACTATGATTTTCAAATCATCTTCCGTCCTAGCTCCGAGTACCGTATGGCAGATGGCTTATCACGTCTCCCATTGGATGATTCCGACAAGAATGAAGACGACGAAGAAAAAGTCATGATTTCTGCTTTACAATCAAGTGAGCTCTCCGCGGTTACTAAACAAGAGCTCTAAGAAGCTAACCGGAGTGATTCATATGTGCAAGATGTCATTCACTATCTCTCTCAAGGCTGGCCTCGCTACGCGAAGTTGAGTCGTGAACTACGGGCGTTTTATGTTTTACGACATGAGCTAGCGGTCGTTGACGATTGCCTTATGCGAGGATCGCGATTCGTAGCTCCACAGAAACTGACATCAAAAATTATCCAATGTGCACAAGAGGGACATCCGGGTATCGTACGGACGAAGCGCCGACTTCAAGAATACTTTTGGTGGCCAAAAATGAATAAAATGGCAGAGGCGTGTGTCCGGTCTTGCGATGCATGTCAGAAGGCCGACAAGAGCTCCAAACCGATCGATGCCCCCATCCAACCTGTTACTTATCCAATGAAACCTTGGTCGAAGGTGGCGATTGACATCATGGGACCGTTTCATTCTGCGCCACAACACCAGAGGAACTGCTTAGTTGCCACGTGCTATTACAGTAAGTGGCCGGAAATCCATTTGTGTGGCGATGTGACCACTTTAACCGTTATACGGTGGCTGAAACATCTGTTTGCTAGATTTGGGTTTCCTGAGGAAATTGTGACAGACAACGGACCACAATTCACGAACTATGAGTTTAAACGTTTCTTACAGCTTCGTGATGTGAAGCACGTACATACTGTCCCGTACAACCCAGCTGCCAACGGCATGGTTGAGCGCACTAATCGCACGCTAAAGGAAACTATACAGACAGCACGTTTGTCCGGCAGGCAGTGGGAAGATGCCGTTTTGGAGGCTCTGTTTACTCACCGAACATCGCACCACAGAGCGACTGATCGCACCCCAGGTGAGCTGATGTTTGGCAGGAAGTTGCGTACGAAATTAAACGCAGCTATTTCGGCTGCAGAAAACAACGACCCCCACCAACTGGAACGTCGCCGGGGATATCAGCCATCCTACGAAAAACGGGCCACATCGCTGCGTCCTGGAACGTTGTTCAGGCTAAAGGAAAGGCAAACACGTAAAGGAGAACCGGCACTGACGAGACCCATCAGAATTACTCGTGTGCTAGGGCCAGGAACTTATAAGTTAGCAGACGGCCGACGAGTCAACGCCAGACAGCTATATTCAGCACTTCAACCGAAGCAATGTCCTGAAACTAGGGCCACCGCAGTGAACCAACCGCTAAAGAGGGGGAGTAGTGTGGCAGTGCGTACGCGCGGGCCTTACCACGACCGCACTTCCTAACTTGGGATTGGATGCCCGTCCGTTCGCGATCAATACCAGGGTTGTTTTGAATATACTGAGTGCATGTACCGTTGGCGTGAATAGAAGTTTGTGTTGCGTACCAGTAGAGTTCTGCTTCCTCGTTCGGGGCTTTGGTCGTGCAGGGGACTAGTGTACGTGAAGACACAACAATGATAATGATGATGATGAATATGCTGATGATGGTGGTGATGATGATGAAGATTCTGATGATTGTGGTGATGTTAATGATGATGGTGATGATGATGACGATGATGCTGATGCTGATGATGATGATGATGATGATGATGATGATGATGATGATGATGATGATGATGATGATGATGATGATGATGATGATGATGATGATGATGATGATGATGATGATGATGATGATGATGATGATGATGATGATGATGATGATGATGATGATGATGATGATGATGATGATGATGATGATGATGATGATGATGATGATGATGATGATGATGATGATGATGATGATGATGATGATGATGATGATGATGATGATGATGATGATGATGATGATGATGATGATGATGATGATGATGATGATGATGATGATGATGATGATGATGATGATGATGATGATGATGATGATGATGATGATGATGATGATGATGATGATGATGATGATGATGATGATGATGATGATGATGATGATGATGATGATGATGATGATGATGATGATGATGATGATGATGATGATGATGATGATGATGATGATGATGATGATGATGATGATGATGATGATGATGATGATGATGATGATGATGATGATGATGATGATGATGATGATGATGATGATGATGATGATGATGATGATGATGATGATGATGATGATGATGATGATGATGATGATGATGATGATGATGATGATGATGATGATGATGATGATGATGATGATGATGATGATGATGATGATGATGATGATGATGATGATGATGATGATGATGATGATGATGATGATGATGATGATGATGATGATGATGATGATGATGATGATGATGATGATGATGATGATGATGATGATGATGATGATGATGATGATGATGATGATGATGATGATGATGATGATGATGATGATGATGATGATGATGATGATGATGATGATGATGATGATGATGATGATGATGATGATGATGATGATGATGATGATGATGATGATGATGATGATGATGATGATGATGATGATGATGATGATGATGATGATGATGATGATGATGATGATGATGATGATGATGATGATGATGATGATGATGATGATGATGATGATGATGATGATGATGATGATGATGATGATGATGATGATGATGATGATGATGATGATGATGATGATGATGATGATGATGATGATGATGATGATGATGATGATGATGATGATGATGATGATGATGATGATGATGATGATGATGATGATGATGATGATGATGATGATGATGATGATGATGATGATGATGATGATGATGATGATGATGATGATGATGATGATGATGATGATGATGATGATGATGATGATGATGATGATGATGATGATGATGATGATGATGATGATGATGATGATGATGATGATGATGATGATGATGATGATGATGATGATGATGATGATGATGATGATGATGATGATGATGATGATGATGATGATGATGATGATGATGATGATGATGATGATGATGATGATGATGATGATGATGATGATGATGATGATGATGATGATGATGATGATGATGATGATGATGATGATGATGATGATGATGATGATGATGATGATGATGATGATGATGATGATGAGAACTGAGAACTGAGAACTGGTGCGAAGCAGCGAGTAGAGGTTGCTCTGTGTAGCTGCATCATTCGTCGTTTTCGGACATGAACTTTTTATTTATCGTTTCGCTCTTTGTACTTTGCCTCTGCAAATTGTTTGTCTAGTAGCATCTTGAATTTAGCCACTGTGTTCGCTTCTACTATATGCTGAGGCAGGTCGTTCCAGACATTCACCACTCTGCGTTCGAAACAGAGTTGATGGGCGACCCGCTTCAAATCCGGGACGATAAGTTTATACCGGTGTCCTCGCGTGCAGCTTGGTGTGCGCAGATGAAGTAGTTGTCTCAACATGGGGTAATCACCCAGATGTAATATCCGGTGCGTCATGATGAGGTCAACCCTCAGCCGACGATAAGATAGGGTGTATAACCCTAGTTTCTTACATCGGTCTTCGTATGGCATACCTCGTAAGTTGGGAATCAGCCTAGTGGCTACATGCTGCACCCGCTCAAGCTTTTCTACTTCGCCCCGGGTGATGGGACAGTATGCGGGAGTGCCGTACTCTAGCATTGGTCGTATTATCGAGACGAAGAGGCGAGTGGCAATCTCTTCGGACCAAGTGCTAAAGCTGCGCCTGAGAGCCCAAAGCATACGAAGGCTGTTTTGGTACAGCCTATTCGTGTTGTCAATGGACTTTAGGTCGCAGCGTGAGAGTACACCGAGGTCGCGCACGAAAGGAGCGGGATGCAACGGTTGTCCAGCCACTGTGTACGTTCGGCCGTGATCATACTTACCCAACCTCATGAATTGCGACTTGGCAGGGTTGATCGGAAGGTTAACCTCTGCAGACCATGTTGAGAGGCGGTCGAGATCCTGCTGAAGTAAATCGCAATCATTGAGTGTGCGGATTACTCTCCACACTTTCAAGTCATCTGCGAACAAAGCACAATGTGATTGTAGTAGCTGAGGCACATCGTTTATATGGATTAGAAACAATATCGGGCCCAGTACAGTGCCTTGGGGCACGCCGCTGCTCGATGGATACCAGTCTGTTAGATGGTTGTCCACCTGGACTCTCCACTTCCGATCAATAAGGAAATTGCTGATCCATTTGTGCAGCGAACCACCAACACCGCACATCCTCAGTCTGTCAAGGAGCACTGCATGGTTAACCTTGTCAAAAGCCTTACTGAAGTCAATGTAAATGACGTCAACCGATTGGCCTTTGTTCAGCGCTTGTAACCATTCGTGCCTCGTCAACAGTAGGTTGGTGATGCACGAACGACCTTTCAGGAAACCATGCTGTGCGGAGGTTAACAGGTTTTTCGACTCGAGAAGTTGCAGAAGGCTCTTCTTCACGATCTTCTCGAGCGTCTTTGCCAAAACTGCCGTCAGGCAGATCGGCCGGTAGTTATCCACTTTGCTTGGGTTACCACCTTTCGGGATAGGCTTTACGACTGAGCATTTCCAGTCGTCCGGTAGTAGACCAGTGGATAGTGACCTGTTAAACAGTTCAGTTACAGAAGGTGCAATTATGGTCGATAATGACTTGAGGATTAGTGGGTGTATACCATCTGGCCCAGCAGGTTTCGTCCCGTCAAGATTTGCTAGAATCTTGCGTACATCCTCAATATTGCAGTCCAGGCTGTTAAGTTCGGCTGGAGCGGTGCTCGTCGAACTCATTACAGACACCTGGTCACTTGCGAATACGGAGGCGAAGTGCGTTGCCAATGCTGACGCACGATCTGTACTCGAGGTTAGAGGCTGTCCTTCTGAGCCTTCTAACACTGGGATATTAGCTATAGGCCTTAGGCGCCGCTTCACATATGCGAAGATCCTCTTGGGAGCAGTTTTTGCGGCAGTTGCAAGCTCCTCTTCGAAGCTTCTGCGTTTGCTTGTTTTCGCCTTGTTGCAGCGATTTCGCTGGACCTTGTAGGCATTGTAGTCCTCATCAGAGCCAGATAACACGAATTTGTTCCATAGTCTACGTCGCCGTCGGGCCATTTTGTTGTACTCTTTGTCAAACCAATGTGGTTTGACTGGCCCAACTTTCCGAAATTTGAGGGGCACAAATCGGGCGCACAACGATTTCACTCCCTCTTTAATGATAGCCCAACAGGTTTCAATAGATGAATCCTGTGGTAAAGACCAGTCTATCTGGCTCGCTGCTCGAATGAGGCCATTAAAGTCCGCCTTCCAATAGTTGAAGGTTGACTCTAGTGGGAGAGGATTTGGTAGCGGTAATTCTAAACTGCCTATGATCACTGAGTGGTCACTCGCTCCCAGAGGCTCTAAGACTTGAATGTTATGTACACGCTGCTCACAGCTAGTCAACAGCAGGTCTAAGCATGATGGAGTTGCGCGCGCTGTAATGCGTGTCGGTTGGTTGATGTGCTGTGTGGCCGCGGTTTCAAATATCAACTCCGTAAACTTCCTCTCGACTTCACAGTGGCCGGGGAGAAGTTCAGCTTCAGGCCACTGTATTCGGGGCAAGTTGAAATCGCCCATGAGTAGGAACATCGGACGACTCATGTGGTTGCGGACATGCGGCAACCAGTCCAAACTGCGGCTCAGTGGGCTGCGATATACCACGCCCACGAGCAACTCGCAGCGTCTGAGGTGTATCGAACACCATAACTGCTCACATAGACCATCAGCGCTTTGATAGGCGCTCACTAGTCTCCCACACAAGGAAGACTTTATGTAAAGTAGAACGCCACCGCGATCATTTGATGGTCTATCGCAGCGGAAGCATGAGTAGCCGGTGATTTCCACTTCTTGGGCGTTTACCTCGGAGTTTAACCATGTCTCAGCAAGGCCTAATACGTCCGGTCGCTGAGAGCTTACGAAGTCGTACAGCACATCGCGCTTGTTCATCAAACTGCATACATTAGTAAAGGCTACGCGCAGACCGCGGTAGGACCCGCTGGGCGCGCCTGAAGTATTAGCAACCTGTTGATCCGGATTCGTGGAGGAACCCGGGCAACTACTCGAAAATTTACAATACGGAGGTTTGTTTCTCCATCCTCCGTGCGCCGCTTTAGTTCAATCATGGCAGACTTGAGTTTCTCTCTGTCTGCCGGTTCTAAGTCAGCGCGCACGTGGATCTTCATACCCTTCAGCCTATTAAGGCGAGACAATAGTAACTTGGTACTTGCTTCTTCGGCAAATGTCACCCTCATGGGCCGACTTTTGCCCTCCATTCTCTTTCCTAGACGGGCGATCTGCTGAACTTTGAGCCCGTCCTCATTTACATCGAGTAGTTTGTCAATCAATGATTGCAAATATTCGACGTCATGTGCATAACGCACCTGAGGATTAGAATCACCGGACTCAGGTGCGTAAAAGATCATGAGGCTACGGCGCCTCAGGTCATTAGATATTGGTCTTGGTTTCTTCGATGTTTGTACTCTCCAATCGTTATCCTCAATTTGTTTATCGCACATTGGAACTTTACTGTCAGCTGAACAAATAGTAGGTCTTGAGGGAGAGTCTGATGGAACTTTAGTACCTTGTTTCCGCGATGGATGCGATGAGGTACTAGGCGTTGGCTGCTTCACTGACTGTGGTGAAGCACAAGGCGAGCTGGGCATTCTAGAGCACTTCGTTGTGTTGATCCGCTTGTTAGACGTGTCCGTTTTATTCTGCACAAGATTAGCTTGGCATTGCTTACAAACGGTCTTCAAAAATTCGCTCTTAATGCCCTGAATTATACGAAATTGGTCTACAGTCAGACCAACGCACGAAATATGAAGCCTTGCGCTGCAGAGACTGCATGAAATCGCATTAGCTCTATGTCCGACGATCTTGCAGCAAATTCCACAAGGAGACTGCTTCGTCATTTTAAAAATAACTACGATCGATACGAGCAAATGGGTGTAATTAAGAGATACAGAAGTTATGCTGAATTATTACAGATAGTTACGAAGTATAACGCTAAATGACTAGCTAGAATTAATTATGTGAACTAGAGGACGACACTGTTATAACAATAAAATCAACGAGATAAAATTGGCCTAACAGGATAAGGGCACGCTACCACTAAGATCGAAAAATCGCTAGGAGGACAAAAAACGAGAAAATTACGGCTAATATATATCTAAATATATCACCGGAAAACGCAGAATCAAATATTATATCGAACTATATAACTCACGACAAGATATAACAATATATGACACAATAATAATGAAAAAACTGGCCTGAGAGCGGAGCGAACGTTTTTTCAAACCGAAGGCTGTGGCCTTGACCTTGATGATGATGATGATGATGATGATGATGATGATGATGATGATGATGATGATGATGATGATGATGATGATGATGATGATGATGATGATGATGATGATGATGATGATGATGATGATGATGATGATGATGATGATGATGATGATGATGATGATGATGATGATGATGATGATGATGATGATGATGATGATGATGATGATGATGATGATGATGATGATGATGATGATGATGATGATGATGATGATGATGATGATGATGATGATGATGATGATGATGATGATGATGATGATGATGATGATGATGATGATGATGATGATGATGATGATGATGATGATGATGATGATGATGATGATGATGATGATGATGATGATGATGATGATGATGATGATGATGATGATGATGATGATGATGATGATGATGATGATGATGATGATGATGATGATGATGATGATGATGATGATGATGATGATGATGATGCTCATTGGGCCATACAGCGTGTCTTATTGTCAATCATGGCACCCGCGCGCTCTCAGACTCTTTCATTAACGCCTGATTTTCTGGGACCAGTGGCGCGGAGCAGGTGAAAGAGCTTGTGATATTTGCCTACTGCCCCGCCTCCATTTCTCGAGTCCTAATAGGTCAGCAGCTTTCTGTCAGCACGTAGCTTCCACTTTTGTTTGTGCCTATTGGTCCCTCTGGCCACACTGTGCTCAAAGCCAGCAGGGAATTTTCTTCTGGTTTCTAACAGGTTTAAGAACCTCTCGGATATCCATTGCCTGGTACGGT